GGGGAGGGAGACAAAAAGCAGAAGCCATGAGGAACAACTACAATGAACAATTTTCAAAAACGAAATGAGACATCTGAAAAAACAGTAGCAATGATTGTACGAAGTTATATATATATATATATAGTTATATATATATCATTACACTGAAAAATGCTTGGATCATGTCACGGGCCCGAGTCGCTTAGGAACCTAATAGGCATTATTTTATAAGTTGCGACTGCTTGAATCGATCTGGTCCCGGGTCGCACGTTGGAGTATACGGGAGACGTGTGTGGAAAACCCGCAGATCATTGGGGGTCGATGCACAGTTTATCGGACTGTTCGTGGGTGGTGGTGGCGCAGTGGTTTAGCCACTGTCACCGGGGTTCGAGTCCCACCACCGCCACCCAACTTTGGTGATAGACAGCTGTGCTGTCGCTTGGTTCAATACCACACCTGACCCAGCGGAGCTCGCCACTAAAAGTCCCGGGGCTTAGGTTGCCGGTTACCATCACTGACTATGGGGTCCCACCTTGTTTGCTATCGATCACACACCGATGTGTAATAAAACAATAATCAAACCACCAAGATGCAGAGTACATCTCGAGGCCCAAGCAAGCCAGTTACCACTGCCGCAATCAGGTGTGGGTATAGTTCCCACTTTTACTTTTGGCTGGTTAAGAATCACGGCTTTTCGCCGTCTCCCCTGGGTAAATTGTGGCTGGTTCATCGATTCAATGATCGGCCCGAATGTTGGCTTTTCGTTGACTCACTTTGATGCGAAAAAGCCCTAGCGGCTAAGAGACGTTTGGTCGTATGGGAGCATTTCGCCAGACGCAAGAGAAAGGTGGCAGCGCTGCACAAGTCTGGTGGGGAAACCGGACGAGTAATGCTGAGGTTATGGGCAGGGTTTTAGGTAACTGTAGTCCCCCACTGGAGCAAGTGGTGGACCTCCAGAGACTACGCTGGTTGGGACAAGTAATGCGCATATCCCCAAATAGATTACCATGACGTACGATGTTCACTAAAACAGGTAGTGGGTGAAAAAAGTGAAAGGTGGTCCAATAAAGACATGCCATGAAGGTACGAAACCCTAACCAGGAGACTCGGTCATATAGGTCGCATTAGGTTCTTTGGATGTGACCCCCAGATCGTGTTACTCGGTTGTTAGAGACATTTGAGTGATATGGCTATCGCACTCAGCGGTGTTCGTGTCCGTATTCATGAATACCCAGTCTATAAGAATTCTCTATTTTCTCTTTGACTGTGCTCTCAACATTCCAATCTTCATTCTGCTCTTTCATCCAAATGGGCAGCCAAAACCGGTGCACGAAAGTGCATGGTTAATGGTTATAAAAACTGAAATAATGCGGTCATGTTTCGAACCACAAGTTGGATGAGTCCCGCGGATTCCAAATGAAGATTATAGATCGAAAAGCGTGACTGGATGTACCGATACGTTTAGGCTGGACTGCAAGCTGTCCGTTTGATCATCCGGCGTAACGGGAGGTGAGGTGATTGCAGCAAAGCCCTGCATGTGAGCTATTTGTAAAGTTTTATAAGCTATTCGGTCACTTTCTTTTAGAAAACTTTTTATCTCACTTCAAACGTACACAAACATCAATGAGAATGAGTCCTTCAGCGAACAACTGACCATACTGTTCGAATGGAATACCACGAAAGGGTTTGAATATGAATCTGGTTGAACTTACCATAGCAATCACAGCAGCTGATGAGATTTGTTGGTAAACACAGGGATAGTGAACAAAACTTACCAGTAGTACTTTTGTCCCAAACGAATTCGTGTGCGTAGCTCATCTACACGTTCTGCCGTAAGACGTTTCACCAACCGCTCGGCAACACTTAATCCGGGGACAGTTGATGCAGGAAGTGGACTGGCGTGCAAAATATGCAGGCGTGACTGTATGGCCGGCGTTTTTTGTCTGCGGGTCAGTTCCACAGCATCTAGCAAGAGTGCGTATTGTTTAGCGCATGCTCGAGCAGAACACCAGGATTCTGGACGACCTGGGGTGGTGAATCGAGTAAGTTGACGACTGATCCCAGGCCAACTGGACTGTTGATTGTCTGCATCGAGCAGAGCGCTGGCCAGAGCCAATCGTTCACGTAACGGCCATACACTAGGTCCATGGCCTGGACCAAGCAGCTTTTCGGAGGGAACTGGACTCAATGGAACTGAGTTCATAGTAAACTCTTCACACAGAGGAAGTGAAGAAGTGGCAAGCCGAAGAGAAAAAACGTTGAATGGGTGATAGTCGCTGAAACGTCTGTAAACGGTAAAAAGGTGAAGATTATAAAACGTACATTACAAACAGCGAAACAATGAACTTAAATTTAAGATGATAAAAATTAAGAATATTGTCTGAACCACCTTCGGAATTTTCATTTTCCTGCCATATTGAAAGGAATATCATACGGTAGGTCGAGCAGTGTAAGTCGCTATCACTGGTGGGCCTTTGGCTCTCATATTATGATATTTCACACACGTCTGAGGTCAGACTATGTGCCAAACAAGTCACAGTTCAATAATCTTTATAAAAAAGAAGAAAAGCTCCATCATTTGCATATAGGCGTGATACTGCCAGGGTGGGGAACTTACAACCGGAGCCCTCGGTTAGCAAAAGCCTGATCAACAAGGCAGCGATGCGGTGCGTACAACCCACTGTCCATTGGGGGCCGGGGTCCAGTTTATCGGATCATACACCCTTCGGACGGGGTCAAAGATCCAAGATGCCTAATACACCTTGATGTCCTTCGAGTCGGTGACCACTGCTACAACCATGGCGTGGGTGTGCGGTTTGTATCCCTCGTTTTGCTTAGTTTGGAATCAGGGTTTTCAGCCAACTCCCTTAGATGAGTTACCAGTGGTTTATCAACCCTTTTATGTTTGCTTCCTCTAACTTTGGTGGGAAAAAACCACCACGGGAATGTAGTGAGTAGGGCTTGCTCAGCAGCTATTTGAGATGCTTGGTCGTATGGGAGTAGTTTGCTAGGTGCAAGGGAAGGATGGTCAGCATCAACCCAAGAAATCCACTCCTGACCGTACTGAGGCTTAGACCCAAGGGTTCGAACCACGTAACCGTCATCCAACTTTGGTGGTAGGTAGTCTGGATTTCGTTCGGTCCATTATTACATCCACTCTGTTAAAATCTTATTAAGTTCACTACACCGAGCTTCAGGACTTAGGCCACCGATTCCCATCAACGAACAGCTCTTTGTGACTAATGGATTTATCCCTTTTAATGTTCGTCATAAATTTGAAATTATTGAATGGAAGCCATGAAATCGTTGACCTAGGTTGCTGGTGAGATGCTTTGATGGTGGGCAGTTTTATTGTCGTCCGGTTCAATGGCATGTATACCCCGGATGGGCCTCATGTGGTTTATCACCTTAGGTTTCAAGACTCATGTTGCTGGTTTTTACTACTAAACAGCAGGTCTTCGCGACAATAAGGTCGATTCCGTCTACTGTTCATCACACAAATATGTCATGAAAGCGAGCTAACTGATTCAGAGAACAAGCACTGATTTGCCGGAGGTACGACAATCCAGATTCTTACTGTTATCAAAATATGCATTAGTAGGCATCGCCAAAGGACAAGCGCTATGTTTGGAGGACACCAGCTGTGAATGCATGCGGTTAGCCTGACACCCGTTAGCAAATCTATCACTATCGACAAATCAGGTTCCACCGTTCCGCACCTATTGATGACAAGATAAAGACAATCGAGAAAGCTTCTGGAGTACCTGCTGTCCCAATGAAGTCAACCCGTAGCCAGTTTGGTCAGCTCTGGTATACGGCGCGGAAACTTGGCCATTAAGAAAACAGGATAAAGATAGACTGTTGGTGTTTGAACACCGCTGTCTACGCAGCAGTGCACGAATTTGGTGGGGCAGTCGGACAAGCAATGCTGAGGTTAGACGCAGAGTTTCGTCGCAACATACGCATTGTACTACTAAAGATATTACTGTTCCCAATATTCTATACAGTTAGGCATGAATTGCGCAGCAAGGATCGCTGGTAACTCTATTGTGTTGGCCTACAATTTGTGGGAAGGTGAATCACCTGGATGGATCGCATTGGGGTATCGAGTAAACCCACTACTGCACAGGTAAACGAAGCGGATTTCAATTGACTCCGCTAAACCGATTAATCTCAAAAAACGTGCCCCTGGGGGGGGGGACGGAAAGCTACAAAACCAACTTGGAATGGATTTCAAAACTCACCACAAAATTTGTACGAGTCAGCCGTGTCTGCGATATGTTGGACGATGTAATATTACAAAATATCAAGTTGCGCGTTGTAAGTTGACGACGGTCGCCAATGCCGTGTACCATGGTTGCGTGTGCAAGCTAGTCGTATGACGAAACAGACAAATGGCGCGCGGTTCAAGGCTATTGGAGTGAAGGATAATTAACTACAAGGACCTGCGCATCAGTGTTCGCAAGATTTGTAGAAAAAATTAATCTATCATCACAAACCTTTTGTAACCGTTTAGCCCACTCAACACATTACAACCTAAACAGTATGTATGGAATTCGACCAATGATCTATGATCAAAGTGCGAGACAGTTATTACGTACTGCTTCAAACCGGATAACAAGTGCGCCGATTTGACAGCGATCATTACACCACAGTGAACGGTAAGTACAGGAGGTGTTACAAACTGTACGAAGCTTACAATTCAGACGCATGGAATCACAGTCACGGATAGCAGCCTGTCATATACGTGGTCAAGTTGCGTGTGTCGAAAATCACATCAATCGGGCCTCTTTCTCTGAATGGAGAGATGTGACAATTAAGGACGAGAAAGAGGTTAACCTCAACGGTCCTGATGGGTTCGTGCTCTAATGGGATGACCCATGTAAGAATGAAGTGGACGTCAGTCGTCAAGCTAAGGACCTGTGCGGCTGAAAGTTTAAGCAGGCAATTCTCAGACGAAATCAGGCAGCTGATTGTCACGTCAAAACATTGAACGAGGTTGAGTCACGACTGACGAAGGTCGATGTATTCTGTAAACACTAGAATGTTTTATTTTTCTGCGATGAGATTCACAGTACCTCATGCTCCCCGAGAGGATAGTTTCAAAGAGAAAAAGCAGTTTACCAGGGTCATAATTAAATTCCTTTTGGTTTTAATTTACGTTAATGAGTTGTATTAAGATCTTACAAAATTCAATCAATATCGGTGATTCGGATAATGATAAATTGCAGAAACCTAACATTTTGCGCACCGTTTGATAAACTGAGACTTTCTTAGCTTCAGGTAAAATATGGATCGAGTGACTGAAACGATCAACTGAATGAATTAAATAAAGCTTATAGAGAAAAAATCGGAAAAATTCATATTTGAACAGATTACAAAACGCAAGATTTTATTTTATTCTGTATTTCCATATGAAAGGCAAACAAAATAGGGGAATTCTTCAATATCAGTAGAAAAAGCTATCGGGATTGAAACAAAAACAGGTTAAATAAACAAAGAACAACGAGAAAGCTTGCTCTCATTTCTCATGCTCATGTTTCCGAGAGGAAAGCTATGCGCCGACACACTTCGTTCACCCCGAATCGATCTATCACTCGACGCAACACGTCCGGATCGTGTGAGGCCAATTGTGTGTCCGCATCTAATGTCCAAAGAGGTGGACTCTGACAGGGAGGTAGATCAGGACGTCGGAATCCGGTTTGTAGGAAGTTCTTAGCTTCTAACACTGAACCGTTTGTCATGCGGAGCAAAACGTAAACTTCGATCTCGCTGGTGACCATTTTGGAAAACTGCATAATTTCTCGAACGAAGTCCGGGACAGGAGCGGATGGAGGGCCGGGGGAGATGGGGGATGGTGTGTTATCGGAATCACGGTTGGGTGGCTAAATTGAACGAGAGAGAGAGAGAGAGAGAAAGAGAGGAAAATAAACCAGTATGCCAATAAGAAATATTGTTCTGAGAAGTTATGGATAACCCGATATGAAACGATTATTGACTCGAAATGATGTGGAATGATTGTGGTTCGAGATGAGGATGTTGGTGTTGGTGAGTTCCCCGAGCTGAAAGTGTTGTTCGCAAACGTTTCGTAAACAAGCTAGGCAACATCATCATTCCCCGAAGTCGCACTGATGATGTTGCCTAGCTCGGCTAAGAAACGTCTGCGAACTACACTTCCAGCTCGGAGAACTCACCAAGATCAACGATTATTGGCTTTCTATAGTATGGATAATATCCAGCATACTTATCACTTAAGTTTCTGGAGTATGGTGTTTTGAAAGTCAATCATACTGTGTTTCATTCAAATCATCACCGTCGGTAAACGGAGCCGTAATGTGTATCAAACAAAAACGAAACAAACTGAACGATTACCTTCACGTCAAATCCAGATAACAGATATCACTCGGATGGAATGAAAGTTAGCAAAAAAACTACAATAATCATCGTAAATCACCAGTATAAACGGAAAACTTGCTGCAAAGAGAGAGCTTCTAAAACGGTTTGGTTGGGAATCACAGTGATTTCTCCCACCGCCGCTGTTCCCCTACTTCGAAGTAACCAACATACGCTAGACAGTGCAAATATTGAGGTGGACGAAGCAAGCAGATTTCTGGGATACCTTGCAGTCCCCTGCCGGGTAACGGGATGGCCGTGTAATATAAGAGGGAACATGAACAATGCAACTTTCAAAGAAATTTAATCTCAAACAGATACGATTTTATTCGCTGATGATAACAATAATAATAAGTGACATTACACAGAGGTTTCATCGAAACCTTAATTTTCAGGTTATATTAACGCAAATGGCTTTCTCTGAGAATGAACGCGATATCATAGTTATGGTGAATAGAAGCCACCCACGTTTGATGGTTGAAGCTGAAATAGACGGCATCTATTCCATTGGTGTACTAAACACAGTCCAACACTACATCCTACTGGGCAATATCATGTTTTTATATTTCTACTGTAACAGCAGGGTGGTCGAAGCAAAGAGGAAGACGCTTCGACGTCTGCACTGGTGGACGAGGCGGTTCATGAACAAACATTTATCAAAATTATATCGGCATCATCGTCCAGTGAAAGATAATTAAAACAGCTGTTAATCTACACTAGGCTCATAAGCTATACAAAGTACGAATGTGTACGGTGGATAGGAACTGGACCCGTTTTGAGGGAGGGGGAAGAAAATGAATCTCTGCGGTCGATCACACAGTCTAAATGTGAATACAAATACTTCGAGTGTTCGCATTAGAAAAAAGTAGCAATAAGCGCACCATTGCTGTCTTCAGTATCTTTAGCCAACCCATGGCATCGTCTATTGGAACCCAGTCTAGAAAACGAGATATTTACTTCGCCAATTCTTATTTTACAGCTCTTCATGTCCAGTCTTCATGATATCTGTTGATCACCACGTGATTTTTTCCACCTGCGAACGAAAACTGAAAATAAGGTACAGTGCGGTCGACGACTGTGAAGCATACAAACTACGTGCCGTCACAAGTGAGGTCTACATTCATGAAATTATTCGGAAAAATAATTTTTCTCTGAGGCAATCCAAATTATACGATAGCTCAATTCAGCCATACACTACAGTCAGTTTCTTGACGCTATGCGTCAGAGTTGAATAGAATACATAGTCTTGCAGGATCCCCTTGAATTTGAAAGGTGCAAAACGTGTATCGAATAAGGCAGCAGACCTTGTTATTCCATCAAGTAAGCTTTGCACATTCTAAATTCTTTCGAAAAGACAGGCGATGTCCTTAGCGTAATCGAAATAGCAGAGCTATTTTCCAGCTGAACAATACATCGAACGATTCGCTTAACTCACCATAGATCCTGGTGTAGAAACAGGAATTGTGAATATAAAAAGAAGTCGTTTTAACACCACCGAACTACGTGTCAACTGCGCAGAGGGAGGTGAGATGATGATTTCTTGACCTCAGACGCACCGCGTTTACTCTGAGGTTCTCATCTGAGACCAGTGTAGGTGCAGATCCACAAGAGCCCTAATCGGACACACACAAATACCAAATTACAAATAAACCTAAGCACATACACAGAGAGAGAGAGAGAGAAAAGAGGAGACATTTACGCATACCCGTGCGCGCTAACCACAAGCGTTGCGATTTGGCATTCTAACGCCGATGATTTTGATAAACGGATTCAGTTCACTTCGAAAGAAGTTTGAACCGTTGTGACCGAAATCGTGTTCTGGTAATTTTACGACGGTTTAACCAAACATGACTACATAGTTGCATTAAATGCACCTATAACACTATATCACTTAAACTTCAATTGGAGATTAGTCACTTTGACCTAGAAAACTATAAGTCCGATTTGAGAAGGAAACGCTGTCATTGGATCTACATTCGTTTAACAAAACTCATCGATCAATGGACCACGTTTCGATATCTCGTAACTGACCGCGTGTCTGCCCCAACATATCCCATTTTTACGTCTTGTTGCCCTCGCGAACGAATCGGTGAAGCCGTGATGTGTGGGAAACAGTTAAGCTGACTCCCAATCGATGAACACAAACGGTGACAAACCGGTTACTGCGATCAACGGCAGGACTGGTCGGACAATGACGATAACTCAATCATCTTAGCTTCTCACAGTAACCATGACAAGGAATAATGCAGTGTTTGCGGCATTCTACGAGCGATGCAATTTTTGTTGGCTGGATCATGGGTTTATTCGAACAGTCAATTTTTTTAAGAGGCTCGTCGAAGTTCTTGGGGTGAACTATGGTGTTTTTTCGACAATAACAACCGGTTATACCTTAACTGTAACCGGGCCTAACAGGTCCATGGATATGTGCATTCAGGATCATAAATCAGTAGAACTAAACGAAACAAAGGTAAGATTAGACCAATGTGGCGGTTACATCAGCCAAGCCAAGTGATCATTGTGACTAAGCTAGCCTTTTGAACGCCATTAAATTTCCAATGTGAGCTTTCAAAACACTATTCTTTGTGAATTTCTCTCAGTTGATGCAATTTGTTTCTTCTCCAACTTTTTTCTGTATCGATTAAACGGTATTCCATCTACAGGCACCAATGCGGTTCACCCTCCCTTCTCTTCCCAATTAGGAGCTAGCGGTGATTGATTGACCAACTTCGTTATTGATCGTCTTCTCTGTTTCTGTCGTTACTAACTGCAACCGATTGCTTTTGTCAACGTTGATCGACACCAGTGCAGCCGTTGAATCATGACCTCCTTAAACTCTTAAAATCAATTTTAAACGTGATTCGTGAGATAGAATCAAATCGCTCAGTAAGGGGCTCGTACGTCATTGGTCGCAGCTGTGATGATGAGTGTTGAAAAGTGACCCATTTTGTCAACCAGTAGTATTTTAGCTGTGGCTCGACTTAATAGAAAAGATTACAGAGACATTGACTTGACTTGTGTGTATCATTTTTTCTCCGACCCAGATGGGTTATTCCCATCAGCTTTGACAGATGGAGCTTTAGGCTTGGTCTTGGAGTTGACGAAACTCCTGGGCTCAGTGTGGGAAGGGAACAAGTTGCAACTGAATGGTGTGAATCGGTCATCATACCGATTTACAAGTAAAGGTGAGAGATCCTCCCGTGAAAAACACAGAGGAATTAGTTTACTCAGCATCGTCTCTAAACTTTTCTCGGGTATCACACTCCGTCGATTGTCTGCCGTACGTGAGCAGTGCATGTGTGAGAATCAGGCTAGTTTTAGAACTGGTCGAGGTTGCATAAACCACATTTTCACTCAAATTCTGGAGCAACAACATTCTTTTCTTAGACCCACCATTTCCATCTTCCTCGACCTGAAAACGGCTTTCGACTCAATCAACCGCTCCAACCTCTGGCGCTGTCTTTCCCTGAAGGGAGTGCCCGAGAAGTTTATTTCAATATTACAATCCCTCTACAATAATAACCGAAGCCGAGTTCGAGCTTACGGCACTTTTTCACCCGAGTTCACCACGGAAAGTGGTGTTCGACAGGGTTGCCCTTTCTCTCCTTTTCTATTTAACTTCGTGATAGATTTAATTCTTGAAACGATCTTATCTTCGTGCGAGGATAGTGGCATCGATTTACTTTCGGGTGACAGACTGTCTGATCTGGAGTATGCAGACGACATTGTGTTACTAAGTTACGATCCAGGTAAGTTGCAAGCTTTTCTGGATAGCTTGAGTGCCAGCACAGCTATGTTCGGCATACGTTTTGCACCTTCAAAGTGTAAAACGTTACTATAAGACTGGGTTAGTCCAGCACCCACTCTCACTCTAACTGGGGAAGTAATAGAGCAGGTAAATAGGTTTTGTTATTTGGATAGCTAGATCTCACTCGGTGGACGCATCACGGATCAAGTGTATGCCACACAATGGACGCCCGTTGACAAGTAATGTAGTACTAAGTATTCCGGAAGGATTACCCCCGAAGGATATAATATAAATACAGAAAAAACCGGGATTAGCGAACATGCTAAACGAACGGGGACTAAAGGAAACGTCGGGATTAGTTATACTGGTATTCGGGTAGGATTGAAAGATCCTAAAGAACTAAACAATGATGAGCACTGTTGGAATTTTTACAAAAAAGCAACTACATGTTTCTTATCAGAATCAAAAGAGAACAGCAGATATTTTACTTCTCACCCTTCATCGGAGCCCCGTCGTTGGGGAAACAATCCAGAAAAGTTTCGGCGCCATTTCCGCAGATGTGTTAAAGACAACAATCAGAGGGTTCACAGAACCAGCCGAGGGATGATGGGTGCGAAATTGACAGGTACAACGTAGATAGATACCAGAAGCGCTTTGCTCAACGCTGAAGACGTTACGAAAGATATCTCAGTGAGAAGCTCTGAGCATTCTATACCATCTGTACCGGATACTGAACGGATTGTTGGTGAACTGATCTTACATGGTGATCTTTCCATAACAGAAAAACCTTATGACGCAGCACCGCCGATTATAGATGGTTATTTTCATTACCAGTGCCTGTTAACATTACCAATTGAAACGGGAGAACTTACCAAACGTGTAGGAGAAACTGCTCGGATAGAGGGACCTGGGAGGGGTAAACCATTAACTTGGAATCCTAGGTTGGAGTTGATTGGTTTCTTGTGAGGAGTTGAGTGCGAAATGGATGTATGAGACAACTTTCCCCAGTCATCTGTTCGTGATCCCGACAGTGTGCCGCCGGAAGAATGATTCAAAACAGTATGAGAGACATCAGTACCATCTTCGGTGGCTGAAATAAATGAATGTTATTTAGAATCTGAAAAATGTTATTTGTGGTCCATTTATCGCCAATTACGCATATCTTGAAGCAAGATCCGAGAGAGAGCACCATTGTTCCCCATATTTTTACTTACGTTCCGGTTATATATGTCCTTTTAACTCACGGAAGTTTTGCCTTCACACACGGTGTTTTAGTCCTATTATCAAATTATCTACTGAGTGTCACGGCGTAGCCAAACGTTGATATTTGGAACGCGTCTTTCCGTAAGCAGACATCGTGAGCAGGTAAAGTTACGGTATACTAAAGCTAAATACATGTTAAAAACGAGTAATGAGGACGAAAAGCGAATATGTTAAGGCTATCAAACCGTAAGAACCACTGAAATGGTCCCCGCGAAGACGGTTGACTATTCTTCAAAAACGAAAACAATTTTATACTACTCAAAATGTTGTCAGTAGCCTCTTTTTAGTGAACAAGATTAAGAATCAACGCAGATAGATCGATTCACTGAAAACGATGTAGTGGATGATTGGATTCGATTAGAGAATGAATTTTGTCGTGTACAGAACAAATGAAGTGTGAAGTAAAAGGCTAGGAAGCACTGAACAGCCGTTTCTACTTGGATAGCTCTTATCAGTAGTGCAAATCCGGTAACCCAACTGCGGATTGAACCCGAAAAGAAACCGATGGAACGCGAATATACTCTCCACTAGACCACCAGGAAGCTGATCAGATAGTTTGTTATCCAAAACTTGTTACATTGAGAAAACTACAAGAAATAAGAAAGTAATACGAATGATGATTTTTCTTTTTCTGCTACGCAAAAGACGAAGGGCTGAGAGTAACTATCCGCAATGATAGAGCACAATGAATAACAATGGTAATCGTAATCCGTGAACGCATCAAATAGAAAAAGAACCAGTCAGAAAGAATAAAAGAGGAAACTCACTAGTTTCTATAATGTTGAAGTCATCAGTGAAGTCTAATGATGACTGTCCACACAATGATCGCGCCTGCGCTGACGGACGGATCAAAAGGTGCACGGTGGCTTCATACTCTTCGAAAGTAAGCAAACAACGTAATTCTGCAAGGGTACGGTGCAGAAGACGACGTCGAAACCGATTGCGCATTGACTCAGCAGAATGGGTGGTCAACCGTTCACGTTCCAAGCGATACCAAAATTTACGAGTGCTTGCCTCACTGCAGATACAATAAGGAATTTGTGAACCATCTGACATAATGTTGGCATCTACTATCGAATAAGGCGACCAATTTAAGTTTTATTAACCACAACAGAATTGTATATGACGCAAAATATTTAAATTGATTATATGCGCAACAGTGATTGTTNATTGCCTGAATCTCTAACGGCAATGCTTTGTTCTGAAAAGACTGATATGATATGATGATATATGGTATGATAGCCGGGGCATCTCAGTGGCCAAACGAGTGATAGCCCATTAAAGAATGGACCGATTCATAGAAGAGGTAGAGGCTAGAAAAGGCTTAATCTCTTGATTCCTTAACTAAAGGAATTTGATCAAACTGATACCTCAGTACGGAAATTAGTTGAAGTAACTGAGCGAAAGTAATTGAGCATCTGCTTAGGCCCTGTTAGGTACCCTAAACGGCATGTCACTTAGCGATCTGACGCTCT